CAACTTTACCTATAAAGGTTAGTATCCAGTTTAGTATCCAGTTATATTCTGTGTTCTTAGGAAAGAATCCAGGCCTTTATTTTAAGCAATCTAATGAGCTGGCCAGAACCAACTCTTGAGGGAGATTATTCCACATTTTCACAGCTCTTACGTGAAGAAACCTTTCCGTATTTGGAGATTAAATCTCTTTTCCTCAAGACGTAAAGAGTGCCGCTTGTCCTCTGTACTGTCCTTAAGGTGAATAACCCTACACCAAGTTCACTATATGTGCCACTTATGTTTTTATACATGTTTATCATATCCCCCCTAAAGTGGCTGTAAAGGCTGAAGGTTTTTTACCTTTATGCATTCTATGCACAAAGGTAAAGAGACTTATCGTGATCCAGCGATGTGAAGTACAGCCTTGGCTGACTGGGTCTCTGCCTCCTCATTGGCTGAGACAGCAAGCAGGAGCCATTGGCTCCCACTGCTGTCAACCACAGCCAGTCAACCAATAAGGAGAGAGGGGGGGCTTCTCCATGGACACATGTAGCAGTGGGTGCCCCCATAGCAAGCTGCTTGCTGTGGAAGTACCCAAGAGAAAGGAAAGCAAGTGGGGGACTCGAGAAGAATTAAACTTTAGAATCGCTTTAATCTCCTCTTCTCAAGAGAGAAAAAATTCAGTTCCTCTAATATCTCCTCATAGCTGAGCTCCTCCATGCCTCTTATCAGTTTGGTTGCCCTTCTCTGCACTTTCTCCAGTTCCCTGATATTCTTTTTGTGACTTGGTGCCCAAAAAATAACTGCAAAAAAAAATGAGGTCTCATTAATAATTTGCACAGGGGTAAAATGCAAGAGAGGATTTTGCTCTCTTTGGAAACTGCAGCTTGGCATTGTATGCCATTATTAAGCTTATGATCTACCAGAACCCACAGACCTTCACCATTGATTCCCCCATTTGTACTCCACCTAGTATGTATGATGCATGCATATTCATATTCCACAAGTGCACAAATTTACATTTATCAACATTAAAACATCATTTGCCACTCAGTTGCCCAATTAAACAGTGCTTTGAGGTTAGCTTGAAAGTTGGAGACATCCTGAAAGGACTTTATTCCACTGCATAGCTTGGTGTCATCTGCAAACACTGAATTGGTACTATTAATCCCAGATACTATACCATTTACAAATATAGTAAAAAGTAAAGGTCCCAACACTGAACTTTGGGGTATACTACTACCAACCCTAGATCATTCAGAGTATGAATCAATGACCACTACTCTCTGAATATCGACTTTTAGCCAATTTTCTATCCATTTACACACTCATTTTTCCAAGTCTGTAGACTTTACCTTACACATTTGCCATGTATGGGAAACTGTATAAAAATCCAAGTATATGATATCCATAGCCACTCTCTGTCCAAGGTCTTGCTTACCTCCTCATAAAAAGAAATCAGATTTGTTTGACAAGTTCTCTTTCATGAATCCATGCTGTCTGTTACTTAAAATATTTTTTTCCAGCAAGAACTCATTTATGTGGTCTTTTATTAAACTCTCCAGTATCTTCCCAACTATAGAAGTTAAACTAACCGGTCTATAGTTGCTTGGTAAAGATTTTGATCACTTTTTAAATATTGGCACCACGTTGGCCTTACCCCAATCCTGAGGTACTATGCCAGTCATTAAAGAGTCCCTAAAAAAATTAGGAATAATGGCTTTGAAATGACAAAGCTCAATTCTTTAAGGACACATGGGTGCATGCCATCTGGTTCAGGTGCTTTATTTATCTTCAGTCTGTCTAAATAGTTCTGGACCATATCAATTTTGAGCCATTGTGGATCATTTGGGGCTGTGTCAATATCATTCCTATTATGGACATGCTCATTTGTATACACAGAGCTGAAGACTGTATTTAATAAATTTGCCTTCTCTTTGTCCCCAGTCACCCACTCTAGATTATTTTGTAAAGGGCCTATATGCTCGGACCTGACCTTTTTACTATTAACATATTTGAAGAGGTTTTTGGGGTTTGTCCTGCTATATTTTGCAATCTGTCATTTGTTTTCAATTTCTGCAACCCTGATTTCCTTTTTACATATTCTACTCTTCACTAATGGCTACATAGAATACATACAGTATATGTATACAATACACGCATCAAAGTATCTCTAGAACTCTCACTCAATCATTGGCTTGTTCTCCGAAACAGTATACACTTGACTGCTAGATCTGACAACCAGAAACATTGCAGTAACATTTAATGCCATCTACATTTTGCACAGCCATTAAAAAGCATGGCTGTGGGGAAGTACAAATGTCTTAAACAAAGGAAGTGTTTAGGGTAGTGACATGAAAATCTAAAAATATTGGTGGACATTATCTGCCCTTTCCAGGAAAAATGAAAAGAGCCATATAAAATCCTAATGAAATGTCCTACACGGAATTTAAAGCAGAGAGAAAACTATGTTAATGTCAAAGAATTGAGTATACTGTATGTGTATCTTGTGGCACTCAACATGATTCACTGACTCTTCAAAGAAAGCACCTAGGTAGAGCACTGTGCTAAAAAAATATATGATTTAGCAAGCTTAGCTCCATAGGGAATTGCTATGATAAAAGGCCTCTAATTTTATCTGGAATAAAAATAGCTGACTCACCCAAGTTGCAGTGAACATTCTGTGGGTTGATGTATTGCTAAGATCTAGTTTTCCTAAAAAAAATGGATCTCAATAGAGACAAAGATTTTACTAGAAAAAAATCATGATGTGCATCTGTGAGATGATAGGGATTTCAACTGTAATCATCAGATGCAGAGGAGAAAACCAATAAAACTGTGAAGCGTTACTTTAAAACGAACGTCATGCTATGAGAAAGAACTAAATTCAAAAGTGCACAACAAATTACAAAATAATTACTCTGCATTTCACTTATTCATAAGTAAAGCTCTCCTTTCATACTGCATTGTGACAGCTTGCTATTTCAAGTATTGCTACTGAATATGTGGGATAATTTGGTGGAGCTAGGCAACTGACTTGTGACATAACTGTCTACCTAGGAACACTATGCCATGTTTTATGGGTTTGTGGGTGGTTATAGGATAACAGATTGGGGTTGGTTTACTAAAGACGTAGATAACATCCAATCCTGTGCGATGGAAATTAACAAAAATGTGATTCCTACTAGCATATGGCAAGTGAACACAAGCTAACCTTATTTACTATTGTATCACTTTGTTTCTCACTTCACTTTGTTTCTCTTAGTGGATTCCAGTCTGAAGCTGGTCCAGTCAAGTTCGATGTTCCTCGGGGCTCGGTCTTGGGTTCCTTACTTTTTAGCATTTACATGTTTCCACTTGGCCAACTGCTTAGACCACATGGGCTCAATTATCACTTAGATGCTGAAGACACTTAGATATAAATCCACACTAAACTGGATTCTACTTTGGCTGCTTCTCTCCCATCTAGCTGTATTTGTGATATAAAAACTTGGAAGGCACACAATTTTCTTCAATTAAACTGTGACAAGACTGAAGTCATGCTTTTTGGCACCCCCTATAAATTAAGGCCAATCCTGGTAGCCTGTCTATAGATGGCACTGTACTTGAACTTCAGTCTAAGATGAAGATCATGCTAGTTTAACCTTTGATCCACATGTACAAAATGTTGTCAGAACATCTTTTTTCCACTTCTGCAGAAACATTGCTCATATGCGTTCTATGCTATCATTCACTGTAGCTGATTCATACATATGTGTTCTCCCGACTTGACTACTGCGATGCTCTACTCACTGCTGTACCTATATCTACTATTAATCAATGACAATATGTACAAAATTCTGCAGCCAGAATCCTCACTAGGTCTGGTACAAGTGACCATATTACCCCTATCGTGGAGTCCTTGCATTGGCTACCCATCAGGTTTTGCACAGACTTTAGGATCCTGTTGCTTACCTATAAGGATCTTCATGGATTGGCACCCTTTTATCTGTCTGAACTTTTACCAACTTACTCCCCTCTCATAACCTTCATCATATCCTTCTGTGTGTCCCCCCTACACCTACACAAAGGTGTCCTTTTATGAAACAGAGATCAGCGGCAATCCTGAGGATCATTGCTGATCCCCGATCATTAGTGGTTTAGGAAACAGAGATGATCAGCGGAGAACATGTTCACTGCTGATCATCTCAGCACACAGATGGCCAGTGTATGAAGGAGTGATGTCAGCCCTTCACTGGTGATCTGTGTTCTCCCTCCAGATTCTCCAGCCCAGAGCTGGAGAATTGGAGGAACCGCAAACGAAGCAGAGATAATTTACCACTGCTTAGTAAACGGTGTTTGACTGATCTCTTACTGTAATCTCACGAGATTATAGTAAAAGCAGCCGTTTTGTAGATCGCTTCTCCCTTCATTCAGAGAAGTGATCTATACCGCTTCATAAAAAGGCATTCAGAGGAGAACTCTCTCCTCTGAGAATGGCGGAGAACTGAGCAGTGGTCATTTCCTTCTGCATGATAAAAGGACACCTCAGTGGGAGACAGAGCCTTCTCCAGCTATGCCTTGAAACTCTGGAATTCACTTCCAAAGAACATCAAAGAGTCATCTTCTCCAAACTTATTCAAATCAAATCTAAAAACTTTTTTCTTTAGACAAGCTTTCACGTAATTATCCCTTTTTTATTTTTTGTTTTATCCTGTGTTTTTGTTTCTCTTGTCTTTGTAAAGCGCTTTGAGAAGCTACCTTTAAAGGCACTATAAAAAAATACCGTTGATAATTATTATTATTATTATTATTATTATTATAATAATAATAATAATAATAATATTCACTTTGCAAAGTGAACAGCTTATATCAGTATGTATCACTTATGTAAGATGTATAAAACAAATAATAAACATGGTTATAAAAAAATGATCCTTCTAGATAAAAGTTATTACTCTACATATCATTTTTAGTTATGATGCATATAAGCTTTGCAGTTAGAAGTATGTAAGGTCACAACAAGCAAAGATTGATGTTACCTTAATTGTAGTAGTGTGTGCTCCAGGGTATTCCTTCTCTTCCAGAGTTGACCAACGCTGTATAAATTTGGCAACTGCTGGATCATCATAGTCCACAATCTGAAATCCTGACACATTAGCTCCTCCAAACTGTATCTTTGATAAATCTCCATCCGTAAAGCCCTGGGTGAAAAAAATTAATTTATTAGATTTTCAGATGTGCCCATTCAGGCAGCAGAATTTTAATAAATTAAAAATAGTCTCTGTTAAGCCGCTCAAGGCAAAGAAAATAAAACTAATATACTTTACTCTGTTCCTGCTTGTAAAGATTTGCAACTTAGGGAAATGTTCATAATAAAGAAATGCAATAAGATCTAGCCATTCATCAATCAAATATTTTATGTTAGTCTAGAAACACCAGTTGCCTAGAATTGAATTAAGTGAATTAAAATTTGCTTTATTACAATAAAGTTGTCAAAGAGATGTTTGAGCTATTTATTGTTCAGCAAATTTATACTAATACATTCTCTAGAAGACATTGTATAACCTCTTGGAACTCAATTTAAAATTAATATGAAAAAGTAAATCTCTGCTACTGTAAAAGGTATAAAGTTGCGCTGAGTGCAGAAAAGTGGGCACCAAATTTTTGCACTGTATATAAACACCAGCTAGTGCAGCACTTTTAAAATAAACCTACATGAAAAACTACTATGTTAATAACAGTATGATAACTCACCAGTGCAATGTCATACCATAAAGCAGCAATGGGCAAACTACGGCCCGGCGGACCTTTTAATCCGGCCCGCGGAGAGTGGCAAACATTGGCTGTCAGGATGTAGGCGGAGCAGCGTGACGAACTCCTCTCCTCTCACAGTCCGCCCTGAAGACCGGAACGGCGCGGGAACACGGCAAGAGGAACGCGCGGAGCAAAGGTAAGTGAATTGACACAATATGGGGAATGAATTACTGTAGGGGGGATGAATTACTATAGGGGGGATGAATTACTATATGGGGGATGAATTACTATAGGGGGGAATGAATTACTATAGGGGGGATGAATTACTATAGGGGGGAATGAATTACTATAGGGGGGATGAATTACTATATGGGGGATGAATTACTATGGGGGATGAATTACTATATGGGGGATTAATTACTATGGGGGATGAATTACTATATGGGGGATGAATTACTATGGGGGATGAATTACTATGGGGGATGAATTACTATATGGGGGAATAATTACTATAGGGGGGATGAATTACTATATGGGGGATGAATTACTATGGGGGATGAATTACTATGGGGGATGAATTACTATATGGGGGATGAATTACTATGGGGGATGAATTACTATATGGGGGTTGAATTACTATGGGGGATGAATTACTATATGGGGGATGAATTACTATATATAGGGGATGAATTACTATGGGGGATGAATTACTATATGGGGGATTAATTACTATAGGGGGGGGATGAATTACTATAGGGGGGATGAATTACTATATGGGGGATGAATTACTATATGGGGGATGAATTACTATGGGGGATGAATTACTATATGGGGGATGAATTACTATGGGGGATGAATTACTATATGGGGGATTAATTACTATGCTTACTATGGGGGAATTTTACTATGCTTACTATGGATGGCATGGTAGTGGCTGGGCCGGCCAGCAGCTAGTCCGGCCCCCGGGTCCAATATATGAACTTATTGCGGCCCTCAAGTCAAAAGTTTGCCCACCCCTGCCATAAAGCATTAAAATGCTTTCTCCCAAGTGCTATCCGTTAAACATTGATGTGTATCCCAAAATATATGAATAATACACATCACATTCCTGTGTAACAATCAAAGTAAATAACAGGCAAAGAGATATATAACTACATGCAGCATGCCACTATGAAGTGCACACTCTCTATAACTGGAGTGGTAGGTAGAGAGAATGTGCACTTCATAGTGTTATGCTGCATGCGAAGATCACACAGAAGAACACTAGGGAACTAACTGAGTTTATATGTAAACTTTACATACTTTCTTCAATATTTATATTAATATTTATGTGTAGCCAGGTACCAGCTATATCATTATGCATTTCAGGGACATTTACAGAAAAGACTATGATGAATCCTTTTACCGCTGGTGCCCAGTACTGGAACTGTTACATCACTTCCTGCTAGCAGAGTGGATCCAGTTCTTCTGGCAGCAGAGGACCTTGGGACCTGTAGTCCTATAGCCAATACATACTGTATTCCTGAGTGCTGATTGAACTACAACTACCAGAGAGCTGGTGAATGAGAGGAATGCTGGGAAAGCAGATATACTTTATTTACAGAAAGCGACTGGCTCACTCTCTTTGGCACAAGATTCAGAGCTGAATGCTGGGGGACTGCCGTTCTCTGATTGTTGGCCTACAGCTGTGGCACTCTGCACATCAGTTCAGCACAGTGATGACACCCACCACCACTCAAGGATTGCATCAGCTTTTCTGCATCAAGACTGTCACTCTACAGTCTTCACACAGGTATCTCTGCTCGCTGCGCAGACAGGCCATCATGCTACAACTCTGCACACCCCTGCAACCAGCCAAGAGCGTCTGTAAGAACTCTTGTTCCTAGGAGGCTGTGCTATCCATAGGATTGGTGAGCAAGTGGATACCCAAGTTCGTTCTGTCATCACTCTAGAGACACTGCATGCAAACACCTTTACACCTCAGTATCAGGAGATCTTTGCTTTGAGCAGTGCCACAACCTATCTGCTTAACTTCACTGAATTACTAGTATTAGTTAACGTTTATGGGCCCCACCATTGATAGCAGAAGACAATGCATACCACAATATCAGGAACTTTAAACATCACAGGACTCAAGTTGCAATCTCTAGTTAAAGGGACTTCTTCTCTGCTAAGGTCATTGTTATTCAAATTAGGGTACTTATATCTATTTATGTCGGGGTGTACATTTAAATAATACTCTGTATCCCGCATTGCGAAGCTGATGTCATTACTATTAAATTGGTTGCAGTTTAATAGGTGAAGCTTACTACTCATGATTGCATAATTTGTTAAATGTTGCTATTTGATTATTCCTATTTTACCAGTGTTCTAGTTTTATGCGTTAATTGGGGTTGTATATCGCAAACCCAATATTCTTGTGGTCTACTCTTTTGAATAAGACTAATATAAAGAATTGTGTCTTTTATTATCCTATACCAGCAATGGGCAAACTACGGCCCGCGGGCCGTATACGGCCCGGCGGACCTTTTAATCCGGCCCGCGGAGCGTGATACTGTCAGGATGTGTGTAGGCGGGGCAGCGTGACGAACCTGAGGGGAGCTAGGCTCCTCTCACAGTCCGCCCTGAAGACCGGTGTAGCATGAAAATCTGTCTCCTATGAGGATCTGTCCCCCTCGACGTATCTGCGCATGTGCCGGAGATCGCCGATCGGCTGCTAATGCCTGAAACTGGCACATGCGCAGATACATCGAGGGGGCCAGAACCTCATAGGAGACAGATTTTCATGCTACACCGGAACGGCGCGGGAACACGGCGAGAGGAACGCGCGGAGCAAAGGTAAGTGAATTGACACAGGGGGGACTTGCGGACTTAATATGGGGAATGAATTACTATAGGGGGGATGAATTACTATGGGGGGATGAATTACTATAGGGGGGGATGAATTACTATATGGGGGATGAATTACTATGGGGGATGAATTACTATATGGGGGATGAATTACTATATGGGGGATGAATTACTATGGGGGATGAATTACTATGGGGGATGAATTACTATAGGGGGGATGAATTACTATATGGGGGATGAATTACTATGGGGGATGAATTACTATATGGGGGATGAATTACTATATGGGGGATGAATTACTATGGGGGATGAATTACTATATGGGGGATTAATTACTATGCTTACTATGGGGGAATATTACTATACTTACTATGGATGACACATACACATCATTCATCTACTCTTGGTCCGGCCCCCGGGTCAATATATGAACCCATTGCGGCCCTCAAGTCAAAAAGTTTGCCCACCCCTGTCCTATACTGTTGAAATCTGTCTGAACTCAGAGTGTAAGAGGTGTCGGGAGTCTTGCAAAGTCAGGGCAAGCACTGGGGACATGCATTATCAAGCAGCCCCTGCGAAGGTAGCACTACATATATACACTATGGGGGAGATTTACTAAAACGTGTGCACTAAGAATCTGGTGCAGCTGTGCATAGTAGCCAATCAGCATCTAACTTCAGCTTGTTCAATTAACTGCTTTCCAGCCGCCCTAGAGCAGGGCAGCAGGGGTGCGCAAAATCATGTATATATATATATATATATATATATATACAGTGGGGATCGAACGTTTGGGCACCCCCAGATTTGTATTAATGTGCATAAAGAATCCAAGGAAAGATGGAAAAATCTCCAAAAGGCATCAAATTACAGATTAGACATTCTTATAATATGTCAACAAAAGTTAGATTTTATTTCCATCATTTACACTTTCAAAATAACAGAAAACAAAAAAATGGCGTCTGCAAAAGTTTGGGCACCCTGCAGAGTTAATATCTTGTACTGCCCCCTTTGGCAAGTATCACAGCTTGTAAACACTTTTTGTAGCCAGCCAAGAGTCTTTCAATTCTTGTTTGAGGTATCTTTGCCCATTCTTCCTTACAAAAGTCTTCCAGTTCTTTGAGATTTCTGGGCTGTCAGTCACACACTGCTCTTTTAAGGTCTATCCATAGATTTTCAATTATGTTGAGGTCAGGAGATTGTGAAAGCCATGGCAAAACCTTCAGTTTACGCCTCTTGATGTAATCCCCCGTGGATTTCAAGGTGTGTTTAGGATCATTATCCATTTGTAGAAGCCATCCTCTCTTTAACTTCAGCTTTTTCACAGATGGCATCAAGTTACCATCCAAAATTTGCTGAAATTTTATTGAATCCATTTTTCCTTCTACTCGTGAGATGTTCCCTGTGCCACTGGCTGCAACACAACCCCAAAGCATGATTGATCCAACCCCATGCTTAACAGTTGGACAGAGGTTCTTTTCATTAAATTCTGTGCCCCTTCTTCTCCAAACGTACCTTTGCTCATTCCGGCCAAAAAGTTCAATTTTACCCTCATCGGTCCACAGAACTTGTTTCCAAAATGCATCAGGCTTGTCTATAT